TTGTCAACTGCGCCACCAAATAATGTAAAACAACTGGTTTATATAGTGTTTAATGAACAATCAAAAAATCTAATAGAGATATTGGCAAGAGATAAGATGGATAAGGGAAATTTAATTTATAAGAAAATTAAAAATTTGGAAATTATTTGGAATAATTTTTCTACTATACACAATAAAAACTCAACTATCACCATTACTAATAATAATGATAGTAGTGGTAATAGTAATAATTTTTGGGATCAAGCAAACACAATTCTAATCGATGATTCATATCTTAAAGCTGCTATGCAACCTTTTAATATAATTCAACCAGCAAGATTTCACAATAAAATAAAAAATGACCGTGAATTGAAAAAAATCATTGAATATTTAGAAATTATAAAATTTCAAAGTAATGTATCTGCCTTTATTAAAAAAAATCCTTACAACAGGAAGCGAAATAAATCGAAATAAATGATTTAATTGCAAATGTTTTTTTTTTGTTAAATAGTCAATCAGTGACCCTGAAGATGGTCACCAGAAATTATATGAAAATTATTTTTTTATATTATATTTAGAAAATTTTTATCTTGAAAAAAAAAACTTTTACGATTAATTATATGGAAAATAATATTTTAAAAAATTATCAAGAATCAGAAAAAAGGCTATTCAATCTTGAACAAGAAATTAGGAAAAAATCACTGTTTAATTTGAATAATGTATGCAAGAGAATTATGCATGTCAATCAATCAATCAATATATCATCAATCAAACAATATACCAATATAATTAATACTTTTAAAAAACAAATATTTATTTATTTATACATAAAAAGGAATCTTCTATAGAAGTATCATCATCACCGTTTAGTAATACATCATTAAAGGAATTAGAAGAGGAATATAACAAAGTAACTTACAACATATATAGATACATGTAGATATATTTGGCAGATTCATTTATTAAATAAAGCTTTTTTATTTAGATTTATTTAAGTAAAATTCATTTATCAGAAAAATATATTATTGCAAAACAATCATCTGAATTATTAAATGGGAAAATAATAAAAAATTCATTAAGTCAGAAATTCATATTAAATCAAGGACAACAACAACAACGACAACAACAAAATTTTTCAAGGTTAATATATTTGTAATATTGTTATGATCTGATTATTCATTCTTTTCCCCTTTTCTTATTTCTGTATATATATATATATTTGTATAGACTTGATGATGGAAAAGTAAACAAGAAAAATGAAGATATTTGGACTAAAGACATGTTGAAATTGGATTGGAAATTGTTCAATGCACCAAGTAATATATATGCGATATTTATTATCATCTACAAGAAGCAATTTAACATTTATTAACATATGTATTATCATGAAGCAACAATTCAACAGGTTTCCAATGCTTGGTCAAGGATCACTAGTATGAATGACTGTGATTTCGATAATTTATTGTTGAAATGGTACTGGGAATTAAAAAAATTACAACTTAAAAGATCTCGTTTATCAAATGGAGCAACTCCTTCAGGTATTTATTCATCTACATTATTGTAGTGATATAATTGATTAGTTGCAAATTTTCCAAATTTATTATTAATAAAATTTATTATTCTTATTATTGAAAAGATATTTTACACACTGATAATATTGTTTATGATGTTCATTACAATTATTTACATTACACAAAAGCAACTTCAAACAAAACATTAAAGTTTAGTACCCGACACAATGGAAATGTTATTCATGCATTCATTACCAGGTTAGTAAATAATCATCATCGTCAATATAAATAAGTGTAACAATTTTAAATTAACACGAATTTATTCTCTTGACAAAAATAAAAAACAAAAAAAAGAGAGGTTTCAGATTATAGTGAAGAGGATCAAGAACAATTATTTGATTATCAAATAAATTTTAATTATTCACTTCCACGATCAACCAAAATATTTCAAGAATTAATAGAAAGAATTAATAATCCGATCAATGAGAACAATGATAATGAATTAATTAATGGGTTATCTTACGATGAAATTATTATTTATGGTAACAGTAGTAGTAGCCATGGTAATGGTGATGGTAGTTGTAATGATGTTGTTGGTATTAATAATGACAAAGGGGAAAAATCTGATAAGATTAATCTTCTTAGAAATGAATTTCACAAGTATATCAAATTTGTGATTTGGAAAGAGATGGATGAAAATTTTTTTTCTAATCATAACTATATATAGAATAACAATAATAATAAAAAATTATTTCCAACTTGTCACAATTATCACAACACATGTAATGAGACATACCCAATACATTCACACAAAACTAATTTTGTTGCCTTTACAAGAAGGACTTTTATATAGAAATAGGTTTGTGCGAACATCAATAGTACGGATTGGGAGAGTATCAAAATTAAAGTAATGTTTTTTATTAAAATAATTAAATTTCGGAAAAAAAAGTTTTTACATGCAAATAATTAGTTAGCTAGGTTACGACCAAACAAACAAAAAAAAAAAAAAGAAAAAAATAAATTAAAAATAAACTCTCATTGCTTGACTTGCGTTAGATTCACTTGGACAATATGGACATTTAAACCGACTTGATGAGATGGGAAGAGGACGAAAAAAAGATATTCATTTTTAATAATGAATGATAAAATATGAATATTCGAAAAAAAAATTTTTAACACATACTTATTTCCTTTACTTAATTTTGTTAAACTTTCTTTACATATTACATGACCACAAGGCATCATCATCGGAGGATTATCTTCTGTTGATTGTTCTTTAGATACAGGACATGCAAAAATAGAATGATATCTCATATCATCCATTAAAGGAACTTCCACCTACATATATGAAATTGTTATATATATATATATTCACAAAATATAAAAATGTCATATGATTTTTCTTCCAAAAAAATTTAATAATAATAAATAACAAATTTTTTTTATAACATGTATTAACTGGTAATTCATCCTGTTGACTCCATTCATTCTTCTTTTCTTTCATTATTGTCGCCATTTTGATAATTGTAGGTAATGCTTGTGCACCAACTGTCACACTATAACAATTACAATTTAAAATATTTATATAAAATGAACATGTATTATTAATATTATATAATGTTATGTCGAATACCTTATAAATAGTGGACTTTCATATGACATTCCTAATAAATTACAAAAATCTCTTGTGAATATGTGTTCAATATTTGTCCATGCGTCCGTAGATAATAAATCAGCGTAAGGCGATGATTGTAAACGATTAATATAAGCCAATGCACACATTAGACGTTGTATTTCTAATAATTTTATCAAATGTATTAATAAATATCATTTATAAATATTTCTTGATCAAGCAAGTAATTAATTGATTAATTAGGATGAATTTTACCATGTAAATGGCGATTATTAAAATAATTAAAATTATTTTTTGCGTACATCAATGCTTCATTATGTTGTTGGTCTATTAAAAATTGGATGTAGCGAAGGCGATGAAGCTGAAATTCAAGCGAACTTCCACGCTTTTCAAGTCCCTCTCGATTTGATTTTGCCCATCTAATTATATAATTATGATTATTGTAATTGTAATTACCAAGATAATTATTAAAGATCGATGATGGTGGCGGTGTTGTCGTACTTACGATAATGCGGGCTCTAATTCTTGAAATTTTATTGCCTCAAGAATTTCATACATTGTGGCAAATTGCTGTTGAAGAGCCGGTGAAATATCCAATTGAGCCTCCTAATATTGATCAATTAAAATATAAGTATCGAATTTTAATACTTTACAAATAATTTTTTAAACTCACCCTAATAAAAGTTTCACCCAATTCAAATTTTCCTTGCCTTATAAAATGTAAGGCAACAGTTTTCTGAAGTATTTTATCTTTATCATCGAATGCTTGAGGATTACTAGCTATTGTAATATCTTTACTCCATTTCTTTTAATTATATTTTTAATTGATTTTTTCAGTTAATATATATTATCATTTTTATAAGTAAATTTAATAATTAAAGCACCTTATCCACAGCCTTTTCATATTTCACAATTGATCGTTGAAATTCTTTGTTATTGAATGAAACTTGCTCTGATATTTCCCTAGATTTTTTTGAGAGTAGCTGTAAAGCCTGTAATGGATTCACCGGATCTACTTACAAATTTTAAACATTATTACATGTTTTTTAAAAATAATAAATGATCTAAAGAAATAATATATTACTTGTTTGTAATGTTAAATTTGTTTCATTTAAAGCTTTAATCAAAGTGTCGACGCTTTCAAAAGATTTTCTGATGTGATCGTTTTGTTTTTTTTCAAGGATTTGATGTTCAGCAATAATTTGATCCATTAATATTAACAAATAACAAATAAGGAGAAAAGAGACAATTATTTATTTATTTATATATATATATCAATATTTATGCGGTTAGTCTGTGTAACAATAGAAAATGTCGAATCACCAAAATAATTTAATAAAAATGTCAAATAACAATGACAAGAAGAGAAAAAGAAACAATCCAATTTGCCCGTATGGCAATTATCGAGGATATTACGGATATAGACTTAATGGTAAAGAGGATCCAAGGATTAATATGATGAAAAAAGAATGGTTTTATGGGTTGGAAGTTCTTGATATTGGTTGTAATACGGGTGAAGTTACTTTGGAAATTGGCAAGTAAAAATCTTTTTTGAGTTATTTGGTTTATCATCAATCTTTATTTGATTAATACATTTAACCATTTTTATTTTTTATGAATTCAGGAATAAGATATTCACCTAAATTAATTGTTGGGGTTGATATTGATAAAGAGTTGGTTGGATGTGCAATGGTAAATAAACGTCTAACATATTCTCTTTCAAAACCAACATCTATGTCAACTTCAACACTAAAGAGTGATGGTGATGATGATATCATTGTACGTGATTATTTTCTCCAATCCATACCAGCAATGTTTGGACTTTTGCCTGTTAAAAGTTTTGATGATATAGATTTCAATAATGATCAAGTGAAATTTCCAGATAGTGTTCAGTTTCGATGTTGTGATTGGATGGAGGAGCCTCATTCATACAATAAATATGACACTATTTTGGGGTAAAAGAAAAATTCTTTTATTAATGAACGAACGAAGTTTAATAGATTTATTATATTTACATACAAATGTAATATTTTTGTAGATTAAGTGTATCGAAATGGATTCATTTAAATAGAGGAGATAAAGGTCTCCAAGAATTTTTTCAGAGAATTTATGACAATTTAAGAATTGGAGGGAGATTTATATTTGAACCACAAGCATGGAAATCGTATAGAAAATACAAGGATCTGTCCAAAGTAAGTGTTACTATAATAATCATTTGAAATTTATAAAATGATACTATTATGTTAAAAATATTTTATTTTTCAGACTATAAAAAACAATTATGGTTTGATTAAATTTCGTCCGAAAGAATTTCATGATTATTTAATGAATGTGATCAAATTTAAAGATTCTGAGGAATTTACAATTCCTCAAACCACTTCATTTTCAACGTCTTCCGGTATTTTTTATTAATTTAAATATTGATTTTTTATATTTGTATTTTGATTGATTGATTAATTGATTGATCAATTGATTTTTAGGGGTTCCGAGAACCTTTATTGTTTACACCAAGTAATATTAATATCAAACTTAATAATAATAATAGTAAAGGTAATTGATAATGGGTAATAACAAATTTTATAAATATTTTAACTCAAATAATAATAATAATAATAAAATTTTTGTGTTGAATTTATAATATCGTCATATTAAATATTTTCTCCATTCAATAATTATTAACATCAATTCTTCCTCGCTAAATAACTTTATGGTCATGTGACAAAGTCACAAAGAAACTATATTAAAAAGTGCCCCTTCCGGATTGCTTCAAAGGATTTTGGAGAAAAGGAGAAGCTGTTCTTTATAAATGTGAATTGATTAACGGAATTAAAGGAAGCACTAAATGACGAGAATGCCCTTGCATTGATCCTGATGGCCCAAAAGGCAAAACACTATAGTAGCAGCGAACATTTTTCGCTGTGTTGGTTGCATATAACTTACCGAGTGACCAGAATAAAAATATACAGTGTGTAACGAAAAAAATTGACCTGACAAAAAATTAAACTACTCAAGAAATACATGAGATAATTATTAGATTCATTTAAAAGTTAATCAATTACTTTATTAAATAAAAAAACTTGATACAAAATACTATTGCCAATTTTTTGTAAGGTCAAATCATGTCTTTTTTTTTTAAAAAAAATATATCAATTTGCTTAAATTCTGGAGATCATTTATATAAAATTATATATTTTCAATTGAAATTCGAAAAGAAATTTCAATGTAAAGTTTTTTAATCATTGCTCTAAAGCCTACATAATAATATGTTCCAAAATTTTTACATGTAATAATTTATTTTGATTTTTTGATTATGTGGATTTGGATTTTGTTACTTTAGAAAACAAATTTACAGGTCAATTTTTTTCGTTACACACTGTATATGCGAATATGAACATACAGTCAGAAGATAAGTAGTTGAAAGGAAGGTTAATAAGGTTAAATTTTAAAAAAGTTGATGGATAATTAATTCTACCATTTTTCATTTATATTATTTATTATTTATTATTATTAATATAAAGAGAAATGAAAAATAGGCACAATTACACAAAATGATCCATCATTTGACTTCAAATAAATTTCGCTGATAATAAAATTTATAACCATTGGTAAAAGTGAAGTAGTTTGAAAGTATTTCTATGACTTACCTAAAGCAGCAGCATGGTATTGCATAGGGAAGTGATATAACAACTTTGAATGTATGATATAATTTGCGACATTGTTTGCCATGGGTCACAAGTATCATGATTAAATGCTGAGATAGGGTCAAAAGAAGCCAATTATGTCACCAATAGTTTTGTTTGTTATTATTAATTTTGTTCTATATCCAACATCGCCTAATAAATTTACTATCAAAATATTTGGTTACCATGATATACTTTATTTAACTCGTGGTTAACAAACAATCTAAAAATAGAACCGCTCATCATCATCTAATCAAACAAAATTCCTTCAAAGCCTTCTCCTAATTTAACTTTAACGTAACTCTAGTATTAATATTAGTATCAATTCTGGTTCTGACTTCTTGCTCCCTAGGTAATAATATCCAGATCAGTCAACTGTTAAATATACTTCATATATATTATTCTCTTTACGAAATGTTAATTCACATAAAATATGATAAATATTGTGTAATCAAATACCCCCGAAAAAATCTATTAAAATTATTAATAGTGTTGCATATACGTGAAGATGAAATCTATGTGAAATTCAAATTAGCCAATCAGAATTTCATATCCAAACACCTAGTTTCAATTTATGATGAAATGTATGGTAATGCTTATTCTGCTTTTTCAACTGTTCTTGACAATGAAAACAGGAAAAGTTTTTTTACAATTAGTAAAAGGAAACAAAACTTTTTAAGAATATTGTAGAGAAAAGTTTATTTATGGTTTTGAATTAAGAAATGCAAAGAATAAATTGGGAGAACCAAGAGAATGTAAAAATTGTAAAACAACAAGATACTTTGTGAAAAATGTATTAATTTACATTTACAGAATTTCTTTGATGCTTGGACACCTAGAAATGAAATAATTATTCAGAAATGTCAAAAGCTCCAATTATAGAATGGATGGATACCATGAAATATATTAACACTAATCTCGAAATCTGATTGGCGAACTTTTTCTGTTTAGGTGGTAATTTACGAAGACTAGTCCATTTTTAACCCGAATTAGTGTTGCAGTCATCTTCACTCTTTTTTAAAATCATAGTGTTGGCGGTCAAGTTCAATAGAGTTTTTACGGCACTTGGAATACATATGGCATATTAAGCTCTTACTCTGCAATTTTTCTAAAAAAAAAGATTCGATCTTTTTGCTGCCCATGTCCCAGATAATGTTATGTTATCGATGAAATTGATTAATTAATATAAATAAATTGGTATTGAAAGTCATGTAATAAATTTTTAAAATATATCATTTTTGTAAATGAAAGTACTTGAAATTTTTTTTGATGTGCATATAGTGAGTGACCCATACCGCAGCGAGGATTTTTTTCTGATAATAAATTACTTATATGCATTCAAGTTACAATCAGTCATTATATTGACAGACAGTTCGCGTAATTGTATGTTTCAAAAAAGCTCAACATGGTGGCCACGAAGCTGCTCATCAAACTGCTTACAAAAAAAAAAGTATAAAAGTTAGAGATGCTGAAATATTTATTGAAGAATTTGATTCTGGTAGAGAGGTTGCATTCATAAAACGAGAAAATTAAAAAAACTAATTCAACTCAATTCCATCCCAATGGTTGTTGCACAGAAATTTTGGATGAACTACAAATAATTCATTGGTAATGATAATGATAATGATTCATAGAATAAATAATGATTAATAGAATAAATATTGTCATATCTAAATAAATAAACATTTTATTTCTCTTCCTCTTCTTTATTTGAAGATATTTTTTGTCTATATTGAAGATCTGCTTGATATAATATTTCATCATTTTCATCTTCTGTCTTTTCAGGTGATTTATATCTCATTTTTTTAAGAGTTTTCTACCGTAAGAAATCATATTAATATATGTAATAATTTAAATCTTATGTTTTAAAATTTACATATTAACTACCTTTTGTTCACTCATGCAATTCCAAAATTTTCTTCTAGCTTCAGTACAAAGACTAATTTTATCAAAAAAACTTCCATTAACAAAACATTCTTGCAATTGTGAGTGCACCTCAGAACAGTTGAACAATGACGCTTCATGTATCATTCTCTTTTGATCAAAATAATCTGCTGAAATCTGCTCAATTTTTTTCTTTTGGATTTCTCTTTTTTCTGGATCAATAATTTTGGGTATTTGCGAAGAAAATATATTTGGATTTATAGTTGGTGCAAGTAATAATTCCTTTAAATTCGTTGATGGCCATGACCATTTGTTATCATCACCTTCCACTTCTTCGTCCTTATCATTATTGGTATTGTTATAATTATTATTATTTTTTGGTTTGTTTTTGAAATTTGTTGTTATAGTTGGTTTACTATCTTCTTTTTCTAATTTTGGATCATAGGTTGGCTGAGATTCTTTAAGAAAATCTCCTAAATGTTGATTAAGATTATCAAGGTTTTCTTTTACCTCCTCGTTATTACTATTTTCTTTAAATGAATTAAACATTATTCTTGGGAAAATTAAAAAATAAAAATTCTGAATTATAATATAGTATCACATGAATACATTTTAATTGGCTGAAAATTTTTTATTATGATTAAAATTGAAATAACGAAATATACGTCAAGTTGCGCTCCAAACGAATACCTTTTATGTTAACACGGGAAAGCTATGCGTTGTAAAATTGTTGAAGACAAGTGTTATTATTATATACAACAAGAATTATCATTAATAGTGTTATCACTTATTACCATTGTCATCAGCTAGTTGATATTTAAATTTTTAATAAAAATATATTACATTGTTAAAAAAAAATAAAAAATGTTTATATACTTGTGGAAATTTTCCTTACTAATTTATACACTTCTAATTTTTCTAACAAATGAACTGTTTTATCATTATTTTTAAGATTCCAATTACTTTGATAAGAATGAGAATGGGAAATAAAATCATAATAACAAAAAGGGTCATTATTAGTGCTGATAACTATTGCAAAATTATTAAAATTCATACAAGATTCATGAAGATTTACATTATCTAGAGTTGTAACAAACTTTTGCTTATTATTAAATATTGCTTTTTGAGGAACTTTGACTCTGCTTAATAATGAATCATTTATTTGATTTTCATCAATTTTGAAAGTAAAACTTTTGTCTGTTTCAATCCAATAACCTTTATTTGGAGACTTTTCCTTTATATTCCAACAAACTGGGTTGTAGCCACCAATTAATTCACCAGTTTCTTTAATCTTCATTATAAATACTGTTTGTTCTATATTATAGCATTTCTTCTCAAAAATGGATCTAGAAAATCCACCTTGAGATTGACAAAGAATTAATTTGAATTCATAAGGAACATTATTTTCATTATATAGTTCAGTTTTTCCATCAACCCATTTAGAAATTAAATATTTCATTTGTGAATTTAATATTTTTCCTCTTGAACCTTTTTGAAGTAATAAACTTGGTTGCCATTTATCATCAAGATAAGACTCAAGGATTTCTTCATATATTTGTTTATTAAAAGCTTTTTTATAAGGTTTGATCTTATTAGAAAAATCAGTTGAAGATATATTATTAAACCTTATTAATGGAATAATATTTTCCATTATATTTTTCAATTTGATGAAATCATCTTTATTCCATTCTGAAAAAATTTTTTTTTCCAATTCTTCATTTTGTGCCATTCCCCATTGAATGACACAATCCCAAATATCTATTTCATTTAATTCTAAATCATCTCTTTCTAATATGGAAATAAGCATTGATTTTTCAATGATCTTGAAGTTATCAGATTTTAATAATGAGTCTGGATTTTCACAAATCATTTCATCACAATAACCTTCAAGTAAAGTGAATGATTGATGTTTTAATGAAATATCATGAATATAAATTAAATTATGTTGAAACCATTCTCTTTCTTCTTGGATTAAATAATCTTGTAATCCATCAATTAATTCATTAAATTCTAATTCATCACAAGCTTCAAGTAATTCAAGGATTTCATTTGCATCCAGGTTGTCTATATTAATAATTCCATTGTAAATATATCTTTTAAAAAAAATATTTTTAAATAATATTTTTGATTTAGCAATTATATAATTATTATAAAAAATTAATAATAAATCAAATTCTTACGTTAAAATAACTTCAAATACTTTTGGAGAAATATTTTTTTTCTCAAATAAAATAATGCCATCTTTAGATTTTTTTAACCAATTATTTGACAAAGCAGCTCCAAAATATAAAGACCTTGCTTTTAAAATGGTAGAATGAGCTTTAAAAATTTTAACATTTTTGTCTTCTCCAACTTTGATTTCTACATCATAATAATCTGCTTTATTTAACAATGTTGTTAAGTCATTTACAAGTTTACTGATATATTTTAATGGTGATGCATCTTTGTTGGAACTAATAATGTTGCCAAATAACATGTTCATATCCTCTAAGGATGAAAAATTCTTATTACTCATTTTTGAAGGAATTTTTTTAAAAAGGAATTTAAATTAAATAACACTTGGAATGTTTATCATTCATTATACGCCTGTGAGCAACGTAAAGTTGCTACTTTTTTATGGTAATAAATAGTGTCACAGTATTTATTGGCCATTCACTAAAGATCGACAAACCAGCTGATCAGATATATATCCATGTATTTATATTTATCCCTCGCCAGGTTAAGGTTGTATGTATATATCCCTAAGAACATAGAGATAAAGGTCAGACCTACTACCTGGAAACCATCTACATGCGGTGAAATTTTTAAAAGAAATAAAAAATAAAAAAGTTTATATTTTATTAAATTTTCCTTACTAATTTATACACTTCTAATTTTTCTAACAAATGAACTTTTTTATCACTATTTTTAAGATTCCAATTATTTTGATAAAAGTAAGAATGGTGAGGAAAATTATGATAACAAAAAGGGACATTATTAGTGCTGACAACTATTGCAAAACTTCTAAAATTCATATAACATTCACAAAAGTTTATATCATGATGAGTAATATTGATCTTTTGTTTATTCCATATTGCTTCTAGAGGATTTTTGACTCTACTTAATAGTGAATCATTTATTTGGTTTTCATCAATTTTAAAAGTAAAACTTTTGTCTGTTTCAAGACAGTAACTTTCATCTGGAGACTTTCTTTTAAATTCCAACAAACTGAGTTATAGCCACCGACCAATTCACCTGTTTCTTTAATTTTCATTATAATTACAGTTTGTCCTGTATTATAGCATTTCTCCTCAAAAACAGATCTAAAAAATTCATCTTGAGATTGACAAAGAATTAATAAGGAAGTTTATTTTCATTGTATGTATGATTTTTTCCATATTAAATAATTTACAAGTTTACTAAAATACTTATTTGAATTAAAAAAGTTATTTACGCTCTTTAAAGACGAAAAACTAGTTGTCATTTTTTAAAAAAGTGAAAGATTATTTATTTATTTTATCACAGAATAAATCAAAAAATTAGCCCACAATTTTTTCGACTGATAAGATTGTGGCAGTAGTTCTTTAATTATACGCTTTTAAGTAAATTTATATAATGCTTATAACTCTATCTATCAAACAAACTTCTTATTTTCATTTCCAAGGATCAAATTATAATATCAAGAATAGATGCGATAACAACAACAATAATAAGGTTCATCATCGATACTATTATATCATTAATTTCATAATATCTATGGGAATCTTAACATTTTGAGCATTACAATATAAACATAGTTTTGTTTCGATCCAATAATCTTTCATCCGGAGACCTTTCTTTTTTATATTACAACAAACTGCCAAAATAATTCACCAGTTTCATTATGGTGTTTAGAATTTATCCTCAAAATCAGTTTCAGAGAATCCATATTGAGATTCACGAGGGATTAATTTAAATCCGCATAAGGCAAGTTTTAAAGCTCCGAACGAATCGAATCGTGTCAAAAAAAAACTGAATTTGATTCGAATCCGACCGGATTTCTAATTTTTTTAAATGTCATTTTTAAATTTATATTTTGGATTAATTAATTAAATTGTATTAGATAGATAGATATATTGCGCGGGCGGGACTTCTTAACCCAACCAATTTTGCACGTGATTTTTAAAGAATAGAAGCCCATTACTGTATATTCTTTTTAAAAAATAATTCTATAGTTGCATAGATTAAGACTCAAGCTTATCAAAACATTGCGTTCTGTTCCTTTTGGTATATACATGTATTTTTATAATTATTACTACAATTTTGCCGCGGGAACCTTGCAACATTGATTTTATTTCTAATTTTGGTAAGCAATAAATTTTGAGATATTTTATTTTACTATTACACTGGGTTGGTGCCTACAACTGGTTGCAACCTAGGTTCCAACATCCTGAGTTACGACTTATATTACAGCTCTTACGAACAGAAACCCTTGGTTCAAGAAGTTATCGAAGCTCGTAGTCATAAAGTGGCACTTTACCCAAAATTTCATGTGAATTTAACTTTATAGAGATGTTTTGGAAGTTACAAAAAAATATGCACGAGAGAGTTGTGACTATATTTTTAAAATCCTTGGAGAAAACTGTTCCTTTAGCACCGAATTCAGTTCCTCTTGAAAATATTTGTAAAAAGTTTGAAGATTCCTTATATATGTTGTCAAAAAATACAAATATCACAGAAAAATTCCAGATAATGTCAATATGATAAAAATTTTCTTATTGATGAAAAAATAAATAAAAAATTATGACCCGCATAGCGCAATAAATGGTGATGTAGTTCTTCATTTGACCCATTCCATTGAATAATATCCCAAAAATGAATCTTTTTCTAATATAGCACAAGCATAGGTTTTTCAATATCTTTAAAATTAAAAACGATTCTGGATTCTCATTAATTAATTTCTACAACTGAAATATTCAGAGCACAATCATTAATTCATTCAAGGACGATTCAATTGAATTTAAATTATCTGCATAAACAATTTTCATATATATCTTTTAAAAATATTGTAATTATTATAAAACAGCTCTTTCCAATGGTTGTAATCTGTCGTGTAACAAAAAATTTTGCCCAAATAATATTAATATCAAGTTTAGTATTTTATTGCTTAGAAGCATTGCCTTTATATTTTCGTGTGTTCTTACTGATTTATATAAAAATAAATCACATAAAAAAGGTTTTAGATATTGGAAAGGGATTGTTAGTCGGTAAAATACCTTTAAAAACTGAAGTCGACAATAAAAAAATATGGCGGCCATCATCAATCAAGATCAAAATCGAAACCAAGATCAGTCACTACTAATTGAAACAGGAAAATTTGTAATAACAACATTGGTAATAGGAGCTGTTGTTACTACAACAGGTTCAGCGTCAATACCTATCGGAATTGGTGCAGTAATAATTGGACAAGGTGTCGTTTATATAGCAGATATATACGATAATAAACCTCTCGAGTTTGTAGGAGAGGTTTTAAGCAGCGTGGGTACAACTATAACATTGAATGGCATAATGGGAAGATGGAAGGCATCTAAACAATAAGGCAGCAATTTAGAATTTCATTTGTAAAATATTCTCACTGACTTGATAATAATTTTTGAAATAATTTTTGTAAATAAACATTATTAAAAAATATGTTTTTTAACTTAGTTGAAATCGGTCATCTATATAGTTGAATTTCGAAAATTCAAATGATTTATTTATTTATACATATTTATACATATTTATTAAAGAACAATTTAACAAAATAGAACAATAAATTTTTTTTTTAATTTAATTTGACAAACTATTCAATTCTTCTCTTACTAATACCATTAATTTATGCCAAAGTACTTCCAATATAACCACAATTTTCTCTACCAGGATTGACGAAAAAGATATAACCTCTATTGTTAGGAGCGCCCAATTCATTTTCAAAGAATGTTGACAATTCATTTGAAAATTTTTTATTAGATTCAACATTCAAACCTCCGACCGAATAAAGCCTTGCCATATATGCTGGATCAGTCGTGGCACCGAAATAAACTGGTGCCTCGTCATTTAATACTACATTCATATTGGCAACTGGTATGTCTAATAATTTGGACAATAATTCTGATAACGACTTCGCAAAGTCATCATGATGTTTCACCTAATATATTTTTAACAGAAAAAAATATATTTAAATAATTGGATAATTTATAATTTATCTGCTCATTTATCGATTTTTTCAAGTCACCTTGACATTGGTATTTACTTCGATAGTAGGCATTTTTAATAATTTATGAAAAATAAATATAAAAAAGAAAATTTAAAAAAAGGTCATGAGAGAAAAATCAAAAAGGTTAAAAAGATTAAAAAGTTACACGAAATCCCATAACTTTTTAAAATGTGACCATTTATATAAAACAAATCGATTGTGGTTAGATGTGTTTCTTCATACTTACCTGGCGCGGTACTGCCATTATCATGAAGGTGGCGGTACAGGTGGTGGGTGCTGGCATTGCACATCGCCGGAGCCTGCTACTTCGAATATCCTTATGGGTATCTCGAGCGCATAATTTTTTGTAGTTGGAGTGATTGTGGTTCGCCGCAGTTGCTCCTTTTTTAAATATCAAGCGGGTTGGGGGAAAAAAAATATTGAATTGGGAGAAAAAAAAAATAATTGGGTTGGAAATTTAATTAATCCTATAATTTTTAATATATACATATGTGTACATTTAATAAATTAAATTAATACAATGAATTATATCTAATAAATTAATAATATAGTGAATTATAATATATTTTTCAATACATTTATTTAATAAATTATAATAAATCATATATATCTAATAAAAAGTATTTTTAATATATTTAATAATATTATAATGAATTTGAACCTCGCGTTTGTTTCTCTCTAACGAACAAAAGCAGAAAAATTACATATAGGAAACGGAAGGTTCGTCATAGAGTGTGGCTTGTATTTGGATGAGAAATGATGATTTTTGGTATGTGCTATTTTCATAATGAAAATTTGAAAAATTATTATTCTTTATAATTTGTATACACATTAAATTCTCTATTATTTATCCAATTGCTTTAGACGATGGCATTGATAAAGACTTGGTTACGTTCATGATTTGGCTGCCTTTTTTTGAAGAGAAAAATTCGGGAATAATCCAAAAAAATTATATTCTTGATTTTGTATATTGAGCTACAAATATTATCATCTGCTTGTGAAATTTAGATAATCAAAATTTTGTTGAACCATCTCAAAATAATTATTTACAACTATATTTATATATATTAATATACGATAAGAGCTACTTACTACAAACAAAATCATAACGAACGAATAAAAAATCTAGAAAAATCTTTTTGTAATTGTGGCCTAGCAAACCTTCATCACATCACTCTTCAGTATTACAACAAAAAAATATTGAAATCATTCAACTTTGCCGAAGGCCAGAAATTTCTTTTATAGAACTTCTGTTTGTAATAATGCATATCTTAATTATTTATAATTCAAACAATTAACCATTTAATGTAACTTGGATATTCAAATTAATTACATATATTAACCTTTATTTGAATAGAAACTTTAAAACAACAAATAACAAGTAACACTAGTGACTTCGTCACTGTCATCCATCTATTTTTATTAATAAAAAACAACAAGTTAAATTATTTATTCGAAATAATTAATAATACTTTGTTATTTTTGATTTTTAATATTATATAATATCACTTTTTTTTAATGATTTAAAAGCTTTCGATTCATTTCTAAATTATTTGTTCGAGAAAATTATAAGCATTGACTGCATTCTTTTATTGTGATATTATATAGGAATATTCGCACCACTTTCCTCCTCTTCTTAATCTCTTCCTTAATTACCATTTCGTTATTGGTTACTCTATCATCAATTGATATATTCCCGCGCAGTTAATGGCGAAACGAAAGAAAATCTCTTAATATCCACTTTCTATTATTAAATTAGATTAGCTATATTCACAACCTCTATATGGGGGCTGTTCTAGGAAAAAGTGGGTTTCGACCCTCAGATTCAAAAATGAGATATTTATACCAAATTAATCT